CTGTAGGCCTGCTTGTAATGAAATGAAAGTAAAATACACAAATATCATTAAGATACTTGTGTGAATAAATAAAGCAGTATCAATTAGAGGTGGGAATCTTTCGGTACCTCACGATTTTTGGGGCCACGGTTCGATAAAAAATCGATTCACAATTTTTCATCTGATTTTTTTGTACACACTGGACGTCAAATGCACCTGTATTTTGATTTAAAAAAACAACAACAACAACAGAAACACCAGTCTATTGTATGTGTAGTCCTGGCTCAAGAAATCAGTGTTTACTATTAACTATTAACTTACTAATAAATAAAAAATATTTTACACTTCCCAATAGGGATGTGCCCAAATCCGAATATCATGTTCGGAAAAGGAAACGACATGTACTACGGAACCCCTAGAGGGAATACGAATGAGATAGGAGGAAAAATATATTTCAATGCTTTCTCTCGCAAATATCGTTGGGTAATTATACTGTATATAAATTGCGGGCATCAGGGAGCCATCATTAATTTGCGGGGCATTGAAATCGCTTCTGAATGTGCCCTCGCTTTTTTACTTTCACTTTCAAGATTCATTATCACACATACTATGTGTATACTATGGAGCGACAGTACTTACCACACATTTTACAAGATTAGATGTTTATCCGTGGTGCTCAGGATCTGCAAATTATTCACCATTGTCTTATCTGTCACCTCTCCTTACTCTGTTTATGTGTTAAGTGAAATTTGAGGTATACTGTAATGTAACAGGCAACCGCTAGCAAGTGGCTAACCATGTCCCTTTAGTGGCCCCAGAGAATGCATTGTTCGTTTTTCATGCCTTTCCGGATAGGGATTCACTATTCACGGAACATGCCTACGTCCCATAATAATAAACGATCAATAATTAATATAATATTTTTCCAAACACTTGACCTAGCTGAAAATGGGGCAGGATGTATTTGTTTTTCTGCACTGCTCTCGGAGTTGAGTTTCGCCTTTTTGTTCCGACAACATCATGTTGTTGTTATTATTATTGTTATCATTGTTATATTAACTAGAAAATATATTTTTTTTATTTGTGAATTGATGCAAATCGCTAGAAGAATCATCGCTATAAGACTCATTGCGATTCATTTGTGAAACAATTTTTTTCTCCCACCATTAGTATCGATGTCATAAAATCACGAGTCTGGATTGAAATAATCTGTCGTTTTTATCCTATTGTTTACTGTATTTATTTGTTTGGCCAGTGTCATTGAGGGTTTTGGTTATTTTGCTGTTGTAAGACCTTTGAAATAACTGAAATCATTTGGCAAAGTGATATTTACATGTAATGCGGTCAAGAGCTGCCTGGAACTACGTTCGCCGTGCGTTTCCCTTAAAATAATTGCACACCTTAGTCCAATCAGATTCAAGCATTCAACGGCCCCGTAGTATAAACAAATGTCTAGAAAATATATTTTTTTTATTTGTGAATTGATGCAAATCGCTAGAAGAATCATCGCTATAAGACTCATTGCGATTCATTTGTGAAACAATTTTTTTCTCCCACCATTAGTATCGATGTCATAAAATCACGAGTCTGTTTAAAGGTCAGAAGATATAGCTTACATGAATAAAAATCACAAACATGACATTTGTAAATTATATAATTTAATATATGTAAGGAATAATTGACGACAGGCCATTGAATTATTAGAAAAATAACTTTGGGTGTGCATTCTTTTTCTAATAATTCAACGGCCCGGAGTCAATTATTCCGCTTATGCTACAGTTGACACACCTCAAAACATTGATCAAATGATATATTTCAAGGCATTCGTCCGGTTTTTGTACTTAAAACGCTATTGTGAGTAGGATTAGTTTCTTCCGCATCTCATCCAACGCCTCCATTGCTAATTCCAAAACGTCATTTTAGACCTAGTACCGGAGGACTGAGCCGTTGATAACAGACCAATGCAGCTAATAACCAAGTTATGAGAGAGAGAGAGAGAGAGAGAAAGAGAGAAATTATGTGAACTAGCCTACCTCTCAGTCTGTGCATCTCTCAACAGTGTTCGGCAGCAATGTCTCTACCAACAGTGAAACTTTAAGTACATTTTCCTCACGAACAGCACCATTGTTACCTCGCTTGTGAGAAGTGTCATGTAGCTTTTAAGTTGCTAAACTATTTTGCTGATTAAAAACTGAACAACATTAGCGCGTATGTATCTGTGTGTGCAAACTATGTGTGTGCGTCCGTAAGGGAGAGAGAGCGGGAGAAATAGAGTGTGTGCATTACGTACATAATAAAACATAATTTTGTGGCAAAACATGGAAAGATCTGTTGTTTTTATCCTATTGCTTACTATATTTATTTGTTTGGCCAGTGTCGTTGTGGGTTTTGGTTATTTTGCTGTTGTAAGACCTTTGAAATAACTGAAATCATTTGGCAAAGTGATATTTACATGTAATGCGGTCAAGAGCTGCCTGGAACTACGTTCGCCGTGCGTTTCCCTTAAAATAATTGCACACCTTAGTCCAATCAGATTCAAGCATTCAACGGCCCCGTAGTATAAACAAATGTATTCGTTAACATGTAATGTATTTTTTCAAATGGATTATGAACAGTTAAATACAAGGAGTTCTAAAAGATTTTTACGACTCGTTTGCTTTAGGCCATCTATTAATGTTAAATCCACAAATAAAATGTTAAGGTTTCAATGGCATCTGATTGTGGAAAAAAAAAACCCAGCAGAAATAGATTTTTTATTATAGATATTTTCAATTTTCAATGTACTCATTAAAAAAAAGAAGTTTAATAATGTTTATTAGTTCTAATGTTCTATTCGTTTCTAATCTTATTTGTTCTATTAGTTTTTGCTCAAAACTAACCAAAATTAAAAATAGTTCATTTATAATTTCTGCACAGGAGAGACTTGGTGTTGTTTCAAAACAAAGTGAAGTATATATCTGTATCGATATCGGCTATCGGCCAAAATGATTGGAAAAATATCGGATATCGACAAAAATCGAATATCGTGCATTCCTACTACGATGTAGTGGTTTTCAGTTAGTGTAACTGTGACTAAAATGTATTTTCGGTAAGGTTAGATATGGTCATTGCCTCATTGGGCTAATTTTGGGTTATTTTTGATTGACCATTGGGCTAGTTTTGTTACGAAAATCTAGCAACCCTGAAAGTTGTGCATTCTTTTTCTAATAATTCAACGGCCCGGAGTCAATTATTCCGCTTATGCTACAGTTGACACACCTCAAAACATTGATCAAATGATATATTTCAAGGCATTCGTCCGGTTTTTGTACTTAAAACGCTATTGTGAGTAGGATTAGTTTCTTCCGCATCTCATCCAACGCCTCCATTGCTAATTCCAAAACGTCATTTTAGACCTAGTACCGGAGGACTGAGCCGTTGATAACAGACCAATGCAGCTAATAACCAAGTTATGAGAGAGAGAGAGAGAGAGAGAAAGAGAGAAATTATGTGAACTAGCCTACCTCTCAGTCTGTGCATCTCTCAACAGTGTTCGGCAGCAATGTCTCTACCAACAGTGAAACTTTAAGTACATTTTCCTCACGAACAGCACCATTGTTACCTCGCTTGTGAGAAGTGTCATGTAGCTTTTAAGTTGCTAAACTATTTTGCTGATAAAAACTGAACAACATTAGCGCGTATGTATCTGTGTGTGCAAACTATGTGTGTGCGTCCGTAAGGGAGAGAGAGCGGGAGAAATAGAGTGTGTGCATTACGTACATAATAAAACATAATTTTGTGGCAAAACATGGAAAGATCTGTTGTTTTTATCCTATTGCTTACTATATTTATTTGTTTGGCCAGTGTCGTTGTGGGTTTTGGTTATTTTGCTGTTGTAAGACCTTTGAAATAACTGAAATCATTTGGCAAAGTGATATTTACATGTAATGCGGTCAAGAGCTGCCTGGAACTACGTTCGCCGTGCGTTTCCCTTAAAATAATTGCACACCTTAGTCCAATCAGATTCAAGCATTCAACGGCCCCGTAGTATAAACAAATGTATTCATTAACATGTAATGTATTTTTTCAAATGGATTATGAACACTTAAATACAAGGAGTTCTAAAAGATTTTATCATTTTTACGACTCGTTTGCTTTAGGCCATCTATTAATGTTAAATCCACAAATAAAATGTTAAAGTTTCAATGGCATCTGATTGTGGAAAAAAAAAACCCAGCAGAAATTGATTTTTTATTATAGATATTTTCAATTTTCAATGTACTCATTAAAAAAAAGAAGTTTAATAATGTTTATTAGTTCTAATGTTCTATTCGTTTCTAATCTTATTTGTTCTATTAGTTTTTGCTCAAAACTAACCAAAATTAAAAATAGTTCATTTATAATTTCTGCACAGGAGAGACTTGGTGTTGTTTCAAAACAAAGTGAAGTATATATCTGTATCGATATCGGCTATCGGCCAAAATTATTGGAAAAATATCGGATATCGACAAAAATCGAATATCGTGCATTCCTACTACGATGTAGTGGTTTTAAGTTAGTGTAACTGTGACTAAAATGTATTTTCGGTAAGGTTAGATATGGTCATTGCCTCATTGGGCTAATTTTGGGTTATTTTTGATTGACCATTTTGTCTAGTTTTGTTACGAAAATCTAGCAACCCTGAAAGTGTTAATAGAGGAAGCTGGAAGCTATGTCCCGGTTAAAAAACATATTGTTTCAAGCTCAACTTAAAAAGGGCTCTTTATTGATGAGTTCACAACAGTATTGGTCGAATTAAGTCTGGATTTAAAGCCTAAGGTCTTGGCTTTTATATTGCTTACTGCTGTTTCTGATTCTGAAGAAACTGACACTTATATATTTATGTATGGCATCTGTAGATCCCTGTAGAAGTATTTTTTTATATGTGGTGTGTCAAAGATTAGTTCTGTTATCTAAAAATTGTTACATATTGTTTTGACCTTTATATAGGGTTTAATAATTTTGCAGTACATTATAAAGAATCAAGTGTTCTGTACTTTCAGGTTCCATTCCAGACGAGAGACTCTACCGGATGTTCATCAATAACCAGGTGACCATGCTTCGGCCCAGGGAGGATGAAGATGGCTGGTTCAACTTATTTGTCATCCATCAAAACAGGTTCAGGAATGCTACTATGTTTGAGATTCAAATATTTAGAAATGATTAATGTTAAACTGTGTGGACTACTGTGTGGAGTAATTTTTTCCTTTTTATTTCTTGATGTCTTTCCTTATGATTCTTTGATGAAACTGTTGGTCGTGTTTAGTTTCCATTTTTGTATGTGTGCATAAAATATGGAATGTATAACCTAGAGATCCTCTTGATAAATGTAATCAAATTATTTTTCAGATACAAGCTTTTTTTTTTTTTTTGACGGTTGCCAAGTAATCTATATCTTTTAAGCCAAGCTTAATGAAACTTGATACAGGAAAACAACAGGTCTTTCTGAGAATGCAAACAAACTCAAACACCGTTCATAGATGCTAGTCAATTTCAGGTCACATTATTTGTACACAGTACACATTGTTTCAAAGCAGCTGTACATGTTGTTAACATTTAGCGATTTAGAGCTCAGTGACAATAAACAAGTTGAGATTTGCTATATAGTATATCTTGTTTCATGTAAGTGGTACTATACGTATGTATGCAGGGAAAAAGTACACAAAAAATATATAGTTTCTGTTCAGATCAAATAAAGCAATCTGCAGTCTCTTTAAAAAAATCTATCAAAATGTATTTGCATTAATTGTGTCTGTTTTTTGTAGGAGTAAGCACGGCGCGACAAACTACATCCCTGAACAGTTTTTGGATGATTTCCTAGATTTGGTGGTGTGGGGTCATGAGCATGAGTGTAAAATTGCTCCAGTTCGTAACGAACAGCAGCTCTTCTATGTCACACAACCCGGCAGCTCCGTCATCACCTCGCTGTCACCAGGAGAAGCGGTCAAAAAGTTAGTGTGCCTGCACTCATATGTCATATGTATGCATACACCGTTCCACTAGGGATGAAAATTCTCACACTCTTTTCACGCTCACAACAAGCATGTTGATGTTGGCAGAGCAGCATCTCCTGTCCATTCGAGCTGTCCATTTCCCTGGCCGTCTGTACTGCATGGTGGACATGCTGTTGAGGCAGGGAAAGCCCACAGAGAATGGAGGCTACACCCCCAGACAAATGTGATATGGAGTGTATTCAGGCAGGCAGAAGGTGGATCTCTTTTCATCAGCGGAGAATACTCACTGCCCGCTGTTCTAATCTCTAGCAGAGCAGTCCCCACTGGGAGTAAATGCTATTGCTCACCGCTGGCCGAGAAATCGCAAATATGCATTTCCCCCAGTGAACATCCTGCACCAGGTGTTGTGCAGAATCAGGGAAGAGGAGTCAGTGCTGTTGGTTGCGCCAAAATGGCCCACCACATGCTTAAAGCAACAAGAAGTCACAGCGTGCAACACTTCACGTTGAAAAGTTCATAGCACAAAGGAAAAAGATACTGATGCGTAGTGTATTATATCAATGCAACAGTTTATTCAGCTTTTTTTTGTTTGTTTTAAATATCAGTTACTGTGCACGTGAAGCACAATTCATAGTCTTTTTCTGTTGTGATTGAACAGGCACCTGGTAACATCATTCAAAAACAGCAAAAACTCCAGCAAGAACATAGACCCATAAACCTTTATCTACTATTAAAGTGTAATAATGGGAACATTGAATGATCTTGTCATATTCACGTTCCCCATAGTGTCAGATAGCTTTACACAAAGTCAAGGGACCATCTCGAAATGGGATGTCTCCGGTTACTAAACATAAACTCGGTTCCCTGAGAGGGGAACAAGACTATGCGATTATGCCATGTTGCTTTTGCTAAGGTCTTTCATAATCTCTCTTATTTGGTAGAAAGATTCTGGGGTATGTTGCTCAGCACTGCTTATATAGGGCGTGTTCCAACCCCCTTTTTGTGCGCTTGAGTGCCATTGGCTATTGTGATGCAATGGTGCTAAAGCAGGGTGTCCGCGGGTCCTTAAAATGTCTTAAATAACGTTTTCCTAATATAAGGCCTTAAAAAGTCTTAAAATGTCTTAAATTCGGATTCGATGGGTCTTAATTATTTTTGGTCTCATTACCGATAAAATACCTTAAGTCTGACAGACCTAATGACTGTTTACAATCATTGGACAGACCGAAGATGTTTTCTTCCCTGCGGTAAGTTACTGCGTCATCAGAGAGAATTGCAGTAAGTTAAAACTGAATACATTTAAATGAACAAACTTGACGTTGCATTTGCAACCATGTGAAAACAGGGGGTGCTGCAGCCCCCTCAGCACCCCTACTTCCCGCGTCCCTGAGCCCAAATGTCTTATTATTCTTATTCACAAGTTAAATGTAAGAATTTGACTCAAAAGATAATGCACACTTATAGAAAAATGGCTTTATTAAGGTAAAATGCCCATAAAAGGTAAAAATCTATTTAAACTTATCTGACCACCACACAGAATATGAAGAATATCAAAAACTTTAGGAGTCAGCTGTCCACGAATGTCCTTAAGATAGCAGCATGATAACACACTCAATCAGTTGAATGAATGACTCTCAATGACTCACTCATTCAGTGACTTACCGCCACTTACTGGTAGCTTAGTTGTGAAGTTTGTTGAAAAGTATGCATTTTTCCCCTCAACATTTCTTATTTGTATATTCATAAATGCATTTAAAACATTAATCTCATAACATTATTTATTGCAGTTGTAATTATTGTTCTTTGCAGTGTAAATTATTTTATCTGACTGGTAGCAGCCCTATAGTGTATATTGAATTTATTGATAAATTGTAATAATTTGACATGTAAGATGATGCATACATCTAAAAAGGTTAAAAATAGGCCTTTGTAAAGGTAAATATGCAGATTTAAGTATGTAAAAGCTGATAGAACACTGATGAAAATATTGCTTCAGAATAAATTGTTTACTCCACCAAAAATCTCAGTGATGCAGTTATTTTGTGGGGATATTTTGTATGGAATATTGTCTGCTGCCATGAAAAGTTCACTGTATATCATAGTAATAAATACCATTTATTACAGCATTGATATTTTGTTTTCTTTTTAATTTATACACATTAAATATTACATATATGTATGTAATAAATGTGTATTTCCATTAAAGGTTTAGGTCTTAAATTTCATATAAGGTGGTATTAAAAAGTCTTAAATTTAACTTGTTCAAGTCTGCAGAAACCCTGTAAAGGGGTGGTCAGTCAGTTGTTTTTGAAGGCTTGATTGTGTTTATGGGGTGCACATGTGTTCATGCTTCGTTTAAAAAAAAAAGTCACATTATCTTTCAAATATTTTACCTTTATTCTACACCACTGTTTCCACTATTGACTTCCAGATTCAATGAAGCCCCTCCTTCATCAATACGCAATGGGCTCAGAATGGTTAGCTGGCCCAGTGTGTTCTGATTCACTAACCGCCTAGTGCACATTGTCCAGAAATCAGTTTGATTCCGAATCAGACTCTGAGAATATTACTGAAGAGGATCGAGCAGAACCTATGCAAGCATGACTCTTACAGGATGTTTATTTTTTTGTAGTTGTCATATTTTTTAGATACATTGTTATTTGTAAATGCTCTGTTTATATTATATTTTGATGTACGGTATCCTTATTAAAGCTTTAGTACAGAATAATAAATTATTGCATTGTACCATTTTTGTAGAGTAGTTGTTTAATTTGCAATATATGCAATCAGAGCGAAAATAACAGCATTTCGACGGCATGGCAACAACACTCTACTACAACAACTCTTTCTCTCCTCTAAAGCAGGTCAACATGGCCTCACCCCCTTTGTTGCGTGTTCCTGGGGGCAGGGTTTATGTAAATTTTAGGGTTTGTGATATGAGAAACCCAGGAAGAAGCTCATTGTAGTCCCTACCAGCCGTTTGTTGTAGGCCTTAAAAAGCGAATTCTGTAAAATAAAATATCGTCCCTTGCATTGAACTGTGAGCGTCGTAACTTTGCAGATGTTGTTTATGTTCAAACAGCAACATTACACACTAACTCGGGTTAAAAAAGTGAAATCATAATCAAGGGCCCCTTTAAGCAAATAAGGCTTCAGTGTTTTGAGAGAAAGGTGTTTCCCCATAGTGTCAGCTTGCTGTATGCAACGTCTCGTTCAGTAGCCAGAGACTAGTGTTGTCAAAAGTACTGACTTCGGTATCAGTTAGTACTGAAATTTAAAAAATTTAACAATACCAGCATTTCCCGCGAAAATTGAGCACTGTTGAGTGGATTCTTAAACACCTCTGATTGGTATGATAACAGATATGTCTGTGATTGGCTACAAGGATCATCGCTTCATGCTCTTCACCAAGCACTTAGAGCAGGTTTAGCTAAACTCTGCAGGACACCGGCCCTCCAGGACTGAGTTTGGACACCCCTGGCTTAAACAGATACACATGGGAGCGTTTGAAAGCCACGTCTATCAGCGGATCTCTAATATATCTGCTCATAGACAGATCCTCTGATAGATGCTGCCATGTCCGTGTGTATCAGTGTAAGCGCTCTGTGAAGAGCATGAAGCGATGATCATTGCAGCCAGACAAATCACAGACAAATCTGTTGAGTGCAGAGCATGTGAGTCGGAATATTAACGGAGCGCTTGCTTGGGCGGTTAGAGCGACTGAGTGGAGCGCACGTCCATAGAGCGGAAAACGTAGCGGAGCGTCACACCGCTCCGCTTCGCTCACATGCTCTGGTTGAGTGCATGAACACAATGACCAATCAGAGGTGTTTAAGAATCCACACAACAGCAATCAAAATGTTTGCGGGAAATGCTGGAATCGTCAATTTTTTTACATTTCAGTACCAACTGGTACCGAAGTCGGTTCTTTTGACAACACTACCGGAGACGGTACTTTTCATTCATCCGTTTTCTTAAAAAAAATTTGTTTTTGAATCTGTTTTTTATAGTAATTTTATGATTTCATATGTTATGTTAGTCATTTCCCTACCCCGTTCATATGGTTTTAATTTTATTTGTGCAGGTCTTAAGAGGGGCTAAAGTGAAATGGAGAAATGGATTTGCAGTGGTGATCTTGTCGCATCCAGTGTAGACAGTTTTAGCTGTTGTGGTTGGATGCAACCATGACTGTGTAGACACAAGGTCCCTCATTTCTCAATCTAACATAGAAACAAGCGCAGATCCAAGCGCACAAATCAACTTTTTTTTTCTTTTTTTTGTGATTGTTTTTTTTTTTTTTTATAATAACATTACAGAGCTTGAATAACAGCGTAAATTCAAATCAACTTAAGATAGGGTTCACGTATGATTCATGAAACATTCTTATAGCGCCATTCCCATCATACGAATGATTGTGGCGGCTAAAAAAATCATCATTTGAATATCACGCCCCTAAAAACACCCTGGTTTAGAAACCTTACCCCTAGAGAAATGACATGAAGAAACGTAACTTGGCCAAAAAGAGGAAGTGATCTCATGAAAGAGAAATTGATCTTAGTCCAAAAACACCCGTTAACCTTGTAATTGCAAACAATGTATATGTATATTAAGTACCAGTAAATATAACAAAACATTTACAAACATTATAAACACTATATAGTCTATTTATTTCCTCCTCCACAACAAATCCTTTAAATTTATTGGCATCACAGAACAAGAATGAAAAATAAGTGCTATAAAATTATATATTAAACTATAAAATAAAACACAAATTAGGCTATAGTGGTATTCATTATAAACAGAATACAAACATCAAACTAAAATGAATTTATTTTAAGCAAAACTGAAACGGCATTCAGCTCGAGTCTCTCTCATTCCACAAGAATCCAAATGTTTCCATTTTTGCCATGTAGCATATGGTTGCTAAACTATTTATTATGTAAACAAGGCTTTGTACTTCATTCATGTTCCAATATCCACGTAAAACATCATCCTTCACATGCGCAAAAATTATTTTACAGCAGACCTTTTAAATTGAGCAGTGTAACATTTATGTTTGGTTGACTGCACTTAAGTTTGATGATGAATGGCTGAAATGTCAAGTTAGCAACGCTAGAACTGATATGTTGTGTGTACGCACATGAGGCGCCTGTGCGATCAGTTGGATTTAATAAAATATAGATATAAAGAAAACAAATAAAATGCGTTGTATGCTTGTTGCACATTTTTTTATTTCTTTTGTTAATCTGTTAATTATTTAAGAAAATATTTAGTGTAGCCCTATTTATTTATTACTTTTATATACTTAATTTCTGATGCAACGATGTGTGCATTCTCATGGTCTGTTGTTTATGCTGCAATTTGAGCATATAAAGCTAAAGCCCTTAAAGAAAAAAAGACATACCAATCTTACTGGTTAATTATCGACTAAAGAACTTTGGTTGTCGGTCAGGCAGATAATCTAAATGAACAAAATGCTGTCATTATACTATTCTCTGCCAAATTTACTATACTGCACGCAAGTTCAGGCTTACTCAAAAACTTGCGTACACGAGCTGAGACCTGAAGTGAGATTTGATTGTAGCAATTATACAGAAATACTTGGACGACAGACTTTGCTCAGACATTTAAGGATGACCATAACATTTCAGATGCTGTGCAACGAGATTGGTCTTTTGGTTAGTCAGTTTATGCTGTCCCGTCTTGCAAAGTCACATGACTTTTTTTGATGCGCATGGAGGAATTTATTCAGTGTGTTTCCATCTCCCATTATTCGCATTAACCCTTTTTTTTGCACAAGTCAAAAACCACCTCAAGCGAGCGTAAAAGCTTTTTTGTGAATTAAGGGATTTTTTTTCCTGCGAAATTTGGCATTTCCATCACTCGTTTCTGATGCAATACTTCAAAACAGTGTGATGAAAACAGCTAATGTTAATCTATATTGTTTTGTTGCTCAAGTAATCCTGTGTTTACATCTCTCTTATATTTGCTACTATATATATGTAGATGGATCAGAAGAGAGAGGTATTGATTTGATTCATTAACTTCCTCGCTCTGCGCCAAGGTTAATGATTACATGTATCCCAATTATACGGTAAAGATCCACTGGGCTATTTGCTTTGATTGGCTTCTACTTTGTTATTGGCAAAGGTTGTGTTGAAACAAAGCCAAATTTGGGCGGCGAGTAAGCTTATAAGGCCGTCTAAGCACTTCATTTCACTGTCCCTGAACCCATAATTGACAAATAAAATGAATATGTGGTGCTGAATAGGCATTAAAAGGCAGAGACAAGCCGGAAAACAACCTTCGTCCTGTTTACGGTGACTTACAATAGTGGCTGAGAACCATGTCTTTGCCATTTGTCATTACTGCCAAGCTTACAACAATGTTATGTATATTATAAGATCACCAGAAAGAGCAAATGCAAGGTTTAAATGAGGTCACTTGGCTATATAGGTAAAACCTTTAAAAAAAAAATCACAGTTAAGTGGGTCTTGTACCCGATTGCTTTTGGTTTAACTGACATAATTATGACGTTCGCTTTTGTGAGATCAAACTAATTCTGTTCACTCACTAGTCGCTCTTTCCTTGGGCCAGAACATTATGCGACATTAAGTGAGCAACTACCTGTTCAGTCAATAACTCTCAAAGCCTCTGCTGACAGGACTAATACTCTGTGACTAGTAGCAGTGTGCCGCTCAAGGGGTGATTTTAGGCAGACATAAGTACATTAAAATGACTGTAATGTCTAAATGGTTTCCTCTATTAAGTTCGCTCCTCCTGTCCCCCCACAATCATTTCTCTTATTTCCTCTGCGATTCACAGAAATGGGGAGATATGCTTTGAACACCTTATTATTGCGGGTCCTGGAATGAATTACTCTCATCTCTGGTAATGCCAGGGAGGGTGAAAAACATCATTAAAGGCTGGAAAAACAGGGGCAAAGCCAATTTGTTGGTTGTTTATGTAAGTGGAGGCCCTCCTCTGTCTTCTTTGGCAAAAGAGATTCTGTCATTGAAGTTCAGTTGAGGCTACTACGCGTTGTGGCACAAGATGCAATGGGCCTCATTTGTCAATCGAAAATAGAAATGACTGCAGAAATCAACTTATGACAGAGTTCACGTGTGATTCATGAAATATTTGTATGCCGCCAATCTCACCATACGAATGATTGTACATTGAAAAAACGTGGTGGCTAAAAAACAATCGTCATTTGAATATCACACCCCTAAACCCCCCTCGCCCCCCGGTTTAGAAACCTTGCCCCTAGAGGTTGCGACATAGAGAAACATAACCCAACCAAAAAGAGGAAGAAATCTCATGAAAGAGAAATTGATCTTAGTCCAAAAACACCCGTTAACCTTGTAATTGCAAACAATGTATATGTATATTAAGTACCAGTAAATATAACAAAACATTTACAAACATTATAAACACTATATAGTCTATTTATTTCCTCCTCCACAACAAATCCTTTAAATTTATTGGCATCACAGAACAAGAATGAAAAATAAGTGCTATAAAATTATATATTAAACTATAAAATAAAACACAAATTAGGCTATAGTGGTATTCATTATAAACAGAATACAAACATCAAACTAAAATGAATTTATTTTAAGCAAAACTGAAACGGCATTCAGCTCGAGTCTCTCTCATTCCACAAGAATCCAAATGTTTTCATTTTTGCCATGTAGCATATGGCTGCTAAACTATTTATTATGTAAACAAGGCTTTGTACTTCATTCATGTTCCAATATCCACGTAAAACATCATCCTTCACATGCGCAAAAATTATTTTACAGCAGACCTTTTAAATTGAGCAGTGTAACATTTATGTTTGGTTGACTGCACTTAAGTTTGATGATGAATGGCTGAAATGTCAAGTTAGCAACGCTAGAACTGATATGTTGTGTGTACGCACATGAGGCGCCTGTGCGATCAGTTGGATTTTATAAAATATAGATATAAAGAAAACAAATAAAATGCGTTGTATGCTTGTTGCACATTTTTTTATTTCTTTTGTTAATCTGTTAATTATTTAAGAAAATATTTAGTGTAGCCCTATTTATTTATTACTTTTATATACTTAATTTCTGATGCAACGATGTGTGCATTCTCATGGTCTGTTGTTTATGCTGCAATTTGAGCATATAAAGCTAAAGCCCTTAAAGAAAAAAAGACATACCAATCTTACTGGTTAATTATCGACTAAAGAACTTTGGTTGTCGGTCAGGCAGATAATCTAAATGAACAAAATGCTGTCATTATACTATTCTCTGCCAAATTTACTATACTGCACGCAAGTTCAGGCTTACTCAAAAACTTGCGTACACGAGCTGAGACCTGAAGTGAGATTTGATTGTAGCAATTATACAGAAATACTTGGACGACAGACTTTGCTCAGACATTTAAGGATGACCATAACATTTCAGATGCTGTGCAACGAGATTGGTCTTTTGGTTAGTCAGTTTATGCTGTCCCGTCTTGCAAAGTCACATGACTTTTTTTGATGCGCATGGAGGAATTTATTCAGTGTGTTTCCATCTCCCATTATTCGCATTAACCCTTTTTTTTGCACAAGTCAAAAACCACCTCAAGCGAGCGTAAAAGCTTTTTTGTGAATTAAGGGATTTTTTTTCCTGCGAAATTTGGCATTTCCATCACTCGTTTCTGATGCAATACTTCAAAACAGTGTGATGAAAGCAGCTAATGTTAATCTATATTGTTTTGTTGCTCAAGTAATCCTGTGTTTACATCTCTCTTATATTTGCTCACCTCCTACTATATATATGTAGATGTAGGTCTTGATCTACATGGACGGTCTTTTTCAATAAAAGCTGTTTTTATACTAATGAGGATGATGTTTTTATAGTATAAAAATTGATTTCTCAATTCATGACCCCTTTTTAATGGCATTTTATTGTTTCTGTGTAGAGCTTGACAGAATGAATGAATGAATACCTAAATTTATTTCAATGTGTAAGTTTAAGGATAATGGAATAATGTTTTTGTTGTTGTTTTTGTATCTGGGTATTCCACAGGCACATTGGGTTATTGAGAGTGAAAGGTAAAAAAATGAATCTTCAGAAAATTCCTCTACAGACCATCAGGCAGTTCTTCATTCAGGATGTGACACTCTCAGAGCACCCTGACCTTTTCAGCCCAGAGCAACCCAACGTCATGCTCAAAGTCATGGCTTTCTGCCAGGAGAAGGTACATGCAATGCAATTAAACATGTTAGATGCTATTAAAAACCAGTAGTAACTGGACAAATAAAGTTACTCAAGACAAATTTTGATGCTTTCTTAACATCAGATGGATAGATTACGTGTTAGACATTTCTTTGTTGTGGCTGGTTGCTAGGGGTTTTCCGCTGATAGGTCGGATTTTCTGTCAGGTTACTAATGTACTGATCAGTTAGAAAAGTCATATTTTAGAAGCAGTTACTACAAATGTCATCCATCCTCTTGGTCTATGGATTAAATATATCCTAAAAATATTTAACTTTATTTGAACACTTTGGAGCAAAATCACTTTTGCAGATTTGCAATCTTTGGACCAACAACTTTTTAGATTGAACAAGAAAGAAAAGGCAACAGTTTCATCTACAGAACTCAAGAAGAGGGAAATTGGAACCAATGTCCATCAGAAATTGATTGGCTCATTGCGGTTTGCTAATTGCTGCAGTCTCATGTGACAGGTTACTGAAAAGTATGAGCTAGTACATGTTTGCTGAATGTTGGTGAGAAAGAGACTACTGTTTTGATGGAGTTGTTAAAATCATTCCACCATTGAGATATAATGTGTGAAGGTTCGGGAAAAAGTTCACTCAGGAATTACTGTACATTCCTATTTTATTCCTTTTATTCTTTTAGGTTGAAGAGATGCTTGAAGAGGCAGAGCGACAGAGACTTGGAAATTCTCTAACTCCTGAGAAACCTCTCATCAGGCTTCGAGTGTGTACACCTCCCTTTGCCTGGATTTACTATTTGTTGTTTTCTCAGTTGAAGAAATACTGTGTGATATACAAGTAATACATCTTTCATCTTACATCATGTGCCTCTCTCTCTCCAGGTGGATTATAGTGGGGGTTTTGAAGTTTTTAACACTATGCGCTTTAGTCAGAAGTTTGTAGATCGAGTGGCAAATCCCAAAGACATCCTGCATTTTATCAGACACAGAGAGGCCAAAGACAACATTAAAGGCAAGTCACACATATCTGCTTAAGCAATAATGCTGTAATATTATGAATATTGTTAAGATGCGCATTGAGCTTCTTCAGCTATAGCTCTAGTATTTTCACAATAGAGTGGCGGAACTATGACGTCACTTTGTAGGCGGATCGGCTGTTAGCATCACACTGGTTCCCTCGACAAAAAGCCAATAGGATTTTTACATAGGCTTTTGGATTATCACATAAAATAAGCTCTGTGTTCAGTCATAGTTCATGAAACTTACACATTTTGTCCATCAAGATAATCTTCACAAAATAATAAAACTTTTATGAATTTTGATGCCTAAACAAAAGCGCCAGAACTTAAAAGCTAAACTTAGGCTATAAACGAACTACAGCACCTCGGTCGCTCGCCTTCTACGTCACCACCACCATGCTTCCCACAACTTTTCAAACTTATTTTTAACACGTTCAGTGAAAAGGATTTAGTCTGTTTATGAATTTTAATCCACGCTACATGAACCTTTTCATATAAACTGGAATAAATACAAAACTAGAG